GGCTAGCTGGCAAATCAACCAGATGCAGAAACCACACCACAATTATACTAATAACACTTGTATGTTAATTAAGTAGCATTTTATATACAAGGCAGTTTATAAGGTAAGTAGCGCAGCAGGTGTCATGTGAGGCTGGAACACTGAACACAGTGTGCCAGACTGCCAGTTAGTGGTGGTTCTGTTGTCATGTATACAGCACATGGATGTTTGATTGCTTCATATTGGACAAACGCATCTACAGGCAGTTTACAAGCGCTGTAATATTAGGTTAAATTTTCCTGCTTAAAATTTGCTAAGACAACGTTGTTAATAATGTAGACTACAAAAATTGCAGCTCTTGTGATTTGACAGTTGCATTTATTCAAATGGCAAATTTAATTTAAAAATTATTCATTCTTACGGATATAATGATTTTTGTACAACATACATTTTTAGTTCAACATACTGCATTGAACTAAATCCAGTTAACTGGGCCTAATTATGCTCTCTTTGTATGAACGACATGCAGAAAACAATTTTCTATTGTTAGTTGTGCTTTGGACCCCCTGAAACAGATGGGTTTGATAATTGTGAGCCTGGTGAAAGAGTATTCAAAGAGACTTCAGTTAAAACTTTGTGAACATCATGTCTTCTGAGAATGTAAGTGAATTAACCACTATTGTCATCATATCAGTATGTTGATTTTGCAATTAAGACCTAAACATCGAGCCAGACCTTTTTCTTGAGCCTGTGCATATAACGTTACTACATAAAGATGTATAACATGGTCCAAATAACTCCCACAAAATCCAACCTGAGACCTTTGATTTTTAAATTATTATTTTTGGCTTTACAGGGTGACTCACAGGAGCACACACATACCATATCTTAGTATGTTTTTTCTGACTCAGTAATTCTACTTCTTTCAATGTTCCCAAAAAATGTACATAGTACTGCTTTAAAGTATGTAAAGAAGATACCCACAATATGCTGAGAATGTAATGTGACATCATTTAACAGGTTACTGTGATGTAATGTGACATCATTTAACAGGTTAACAATATATTGTCATATTGTTACAGCAAAATATAACATTCATGCCAAACTGTGCAGCCTAAGCCCATAATCAAAACAAGACATGCGTTATTTTTCAACTTGTATTCCTACTGCAGCAGCAATAGCACTAGGAGGGTTATCTAGGCTAATAATATTGATGGCAAAAAAGAAATCCAGAGGAAACACTGTAACTGGTTCAACTTAAACTGTATCTCCCACAAAGAAGCAACCATTCTGCAAAACTTTATATTACCACTCAACATTCAAATAACACCATGCTGCCTCAGCACTCTCGTCCAGCCGTTTGACTCCCCCCATGGACCCTCTCACCAGCAGTTTCGCTCTTCCAAGAGAGCATGCGCCACCCTCGTGCACTCAGGTCTCTTGCCTTGTTCAAGTTCAATTCAGGTTTCCACAGCACTTGAGTACACTGTAGCTTGAGACCTCAAGAGACATTGGAAATCTTCTGATGCACTTCACCTAGCCGCCTACTCGAGTCTTGCATTGTGCCAAGCTGAAGTAGCATCTCATAGGGTTGCATCTGACTGAGGCTCAGTTCCTGCAGCAAAAAGCGTGAAAGTGTTGAAGGCCATTTACCATTGTTTTTTATGATTTTATCGTTGCTTATTTTACTCAGTAGAGCTGCATATATTTTCTAGCGTGACACTGCAAGGGCATTGAAAGCTGAAAAGAACAGTGTAATGGCTAGTTTTATACTCATCTGTTTTCACGCACTGTTATCACCTATCAGTTTTGCAGCCCCATGCTGTGATATATATCTCACTAAAGGAAAGCTGAAGACAGGTGTAACCTAACATGTAAGCAGAGGGAGTGAATACAATACCAAAGTCTAAAAGGGGAATTCCACTGATGTTTCAACATTTCTGCTTAATTAAATGGCTAAGATGTAAACAGAGTCATTCAGAGTGGTTTGATGTAAAAATGCTCCATTTTAGAGAAACATAGTGAATCAGAATTGCTGGTGATAGGAACTAGACGTTCAAAGTCTTTAATGCTTCTCAAAGCTACCTCACAGAAAGTTACAGATACACTGCCTGATGCCTAAGATGTTATTTTACAATGGTGTTGAGAAAAGGAGTTGGCCTATTAACCATTGTTTGAACTCGGATGAACAAAAATGTACCTGTACAGTACAATTTTTCTAACAATGTACAATTCACCATTTTACATCAAAGCACTCTGAATGACTGAATTTGTTTACATCTTAACCCTAAAATGATAAATGTTTTTTTAAAAAATCAGTGAAATTCCCTTTTAATCAAATTGACCTGGTCGTGGTCCACAGTGAAAAGAGAGAAACCAATGTTTGTGACCTTGTGAAAGTAGTCATCCATATAAGGTCTTTACAGCTTGGTAAGTACTTGGTAAAACAGAGAGGAAAAACAATTAATGCACGCACACACACAGACACACACAACATGACAATGAAACACCATTTTCTAAGTCTGTCTGTACAGCACTGTCGGCGTCATTTTCATGCACGCATATCAACATCTCACATCTGACTATTTAAAGTGATAAGAGCTCTGAGCTCTTATACTCCCAAGACCCTCCAAATCTGAGAAAGCGTCTACAAGGTGTTAAAGAAGTTAAGGTTAAATCTGTTGTTCTTACCCCCTCTCCTTTTCTTTCAATATATTAAACACATCCTTCTATTTTTCCAAAACACAAGCTGACAGCCTCACGCCTGTTAAAAAAAGAGGTGTTCCTTGTTCAGCTTTAGATGATTACGCTTATCAAAATGCTGTGCTGCAATCTAACACCTATACTTCTAAAAACAGACTGTAAACTTCTGTAAAACTGGAGTTAAACAAAACCATAATAAATAAGCACACTGCAGGAGCAGTAGTAAAGTGGAAATTACTTCAGTGCCAACACAAAAGGAATAAGTGCTGATTTCCTGTCTGAAAAAGGAGAAATATCAGTCAATTAACCACAAACATTACAATAGTGCAAGTGAGTTCAGAGCTCTTAAACTAAATGTAGACACTTTTCTAAACTGATGTTTTTAGTCATTTGTGTAAATGCCATCATACTGTATAAACACTAGCAGAGGCGGTGATAGTCTGGGATCATCTGTGATCTGCATTCTGAGTTCTGAGTTTACAGCTTGCCTGCTAGATAAAAGGCTTTACTTTTCGCTTCTTTATATTTAAGAACTGGTTAATGTAAAGCACTAAGAATTCCAAGAAGTTACATGTTACAGCAAAACCTAGTACAAGCTGTTCTCAAAGAAATAATGCATGGAACTGACATAAGACAGCACAGCAGAAATATTGAGAATGCTCAAGTCAGCATACCTGAACACAATGTTCTTCTAAACAGTCTATTTACAATAGATGGTGGTTGAAAATGCTGAAGAACTTTTCGTCCAGCCGAATAGGCCTTTGAGTTCCTCAGCTAAATAATGCCATTCACATCTGAGAATGGTACCAAGCCATAATGTACTTCCAATGTTCGTGGTACCATTAAGAGTATTTTGTGCACTCTGTACTCTATAATGTTGATGGTCCGCATTTGCATCAACTCCTATATTTCCAGAAAATAAGAAGCTCATGACCATTTGCTATTCCATCTGTACAGAGTATACAAACTTAAGGAGCGTTCGGCTAGGAATGGGCAATACCACTAATTTTCTGTTCATTCCAATACAAACTAATACCAAGGCTAACATCCCAATACCAGTACCAATACAGATACTGTTAAAAGTGCCCTTCTGCAAAAAAGAGTTAAAAGAGTTCTTTTTGATTTCTACAGTGGAAAAAATATACTTGAAAACCTTTGCACTAGTGCTAAATAAACTACCATACAAACTGACTGTTTACAGAAATAACTTAAAGCATTCACAGGCAGAAAGAGAGGGTGGAAGGAAAAGTAGTTCCTGCTCTACACATTTCTTTTCTTCATCTTTTTTTCACTGTCTGTTTAACAATTCTGATGCATATTAAGCTTACTGCTTAAAGGACTGTTGTGTGAAGACTGCTTCTCAAAAGAAACACCAGGATCGGAAATATCTATATTTTAGCATCAATCTGCCCACCCCTACATGCAGCTTTCACTGTAGTATAAAAAGTAAAATGATGGTGGCCACTTTCTTTTCCACTTAGTGACTGTGGAGCATGTGTGTTCTACTTTTCTGTAGACCTGACAGACCTATTTTACCCCTCACAGAATGAGACATGTACAGTCCTCTTACTGACTAGCAAGGTCGTATGATTCAGAGTTTCAAAATAGAACTCAGGCATTTCATCAATGAGAGAAACACTGGCTTACTGAGTCACAGAGAACACTGTAGTGTGTGTCTGTGCCAGAACTGCAGGCCAGCCTCTTCAGTAACTGCACAACGTCAGAACGTGTCGTCACCAGTGACTTTGGATACTGAAGTGTGGGCTACTTGGTGTTCACATATAGTAAGAAACGCTGGTTTTCTCATCTTTTAAGCGCTAACTTAACTTGAAATCTGACCCATATCTGATATTTGAGCTTCTGACCTCCTTTTAGTTCATTAAAGTTACCTCAGAGCGGTCATAAAAAGTAGCTTCCACTGTAAGTTACTGTTCACGTAGTTCCTGTCAGTTTCTGCTTAGTCGAACTTCTGAGTACGAATGACCAGTTTTGCACCTAAAGCGTTTTAAATGTACAAACGACATGTAAAGCAAACGTTCAGGTCCATCTTGGCTGATGAATTTCTAAAGCCGAGCGACACGGTAGTGTCTAAACGCCGAGTGAGTGATTAAGTGAGTGAGTGTGTTCGAATGGCGGTTCTATGCTAACCGGCATCACCACAAATAACCCGTCCGCACTTCAGGGAAACCGAAAAAAAGTTCACTCGACACTTCGTCCAGTGAACTTCGACACTTCGACATTCCAGTCGGCCTTAGCTAATTTTTGGTGTGACGAGAACGTCGCGGACCTGAGGTGAGGAGAAACGGGGGAGTTTTTACCTTCTGGTCCACGATGGAACACGCCATTTCTCGGACCTGCGCGAGGCTGAAGTCGCCCGAGTCGAGCAGCACCGGCTCGCGGCTCAAGCCGATCTGGATGTGGAAGGAGACGCCCTGAGAGCCCGGGACGGGGCTGGGCGCCCGGATCACCGGAGGGACACTCATGTGAATCCCCGAGCGGTCACGGCTGGACAGCAGCGGTCAGTCTGGGCTCAGTCGCGGTCAAGCGCGCTCCGGTTCTAGCGAAAAAAACTTCGATTCGCCCCCAAATGCCGAAAAATATCCTTAGAGGTAAAATGACGCGCTGGAAATATAGCTAATAAATCGGACTGCATTTAGAGGCACTGGAGAGCAACGAGTTTTTTGGTCATTGAGAAACGATGATGATGGAGCCATAGACGTCAGATATGTTTAATGTTGGGCTCTGATAGACACCGCCTCCTGCTTGTTCCGGTGATCAGAGCGAGGTGCCTAACGCTGAGCTTTATGTGCAAGACATCTATACAGCCATCTTTCTGTCCTTTCAGAACATGTAAAAACCGTTTGCAGATATTTAGGTTTCTATTTTATTTTGCCTGACTTGCTCGAAAAGGATGCTTAGCCTACATTATAGTTGTTTGTTGCTTATATTAAAGTTTACTGTATTCAGTTTGAACTGCTTCTTTGAATATAATGTAGTCTCTAGGGTACACTTAGTGTTACAGACCTTTGGACAATAATAAGAAACACAACATGATTATTCCAGTTTCAGCTGACTGCTTGAGCAAAGGTTTAATAAGTTCAGAGTTAACGGTAAAAGGCATGGGAAGCTAGGAAAGTAGTTTCTTGTGGAGACTACGTGTTTAGAAATTAATGTTATTCAGAACCTCGTCCTTGTCCATATTACGATAACTCACACATGATACCAGACACACTGTTAGGAGGGGAAGTCTCAGCGCGAGTTTGCTGTCTAAAATTAAGCTAGTTTTTTTCACAGGCTAAACTGAGTGGCCCATTAGAGCAAGTGCCTTTTATCTGAATTGCAACTTTACACATTAAGATGTAAATATCTCAGTTTGACCGGGCTCGAGTGGGCCAACTGTGCTCCCGCGTCAGCATGTGTGCCGGCATGTTGTCAACAGGAGGGCTGGAGGACTCGCGGTTGCTAAGGGAGACGGGCCAGCTGAGGCTGCTCCTCCCACGCCCGCTGCAACCTGGGGCGCTTTCAAAACGCACATTTGCGTTCTGTGCACTCGCATACTAACAAGAGTGCGAAAGTTACATCCGGGGTTTTAAACTTATTTGCATATGCAAGAGTTGAGCAACCGTTGACATGGCAACTCTTTAGCCTACGTTCTGAACGTTTTGTGTTTATCACTGGCGTCGTCCAAAATCACATACTACATCAATGAATGCACTTCTAATGGCGAGCTACTGTTTTTGACATACTACGTAGTATGATGGTATGCAATTTTGGACGAAGCCACAGGTTCAGCTATTCTACTGTTTCAGTCACGTGACGTTATTTCGTGCAGTGGCCATATTAATGAAAATGTCTTGAAAATGTACTACAGTCGGAGCTATGATGAAGAATTAGAGTAAGAAAAGTGAATATAGAAATTACATTTAACATGCCACTGACATATACCAGTCTCCAGCGGAACATGCCAGTATTAAATAGAATAATAGTCGTGAGTGGAACATGTAATGATTAAAGAGTTCACTTTCATTTTGCTAGAAAAAAAGAAATGATACCAAATTCTACATTTTGAGGGTGGCCTTTGCATGACTACTATAACTGAGCAAAGATGTTCTAAGGTGGTTTCTTAGCTGAAACATTGCATAGATATTTAGTTAGCTTGTTTAATGTATGAAATGCTAGCTTGGCCATCAGGTTATTCATCATCAACTGTAATTTGATTTAAGAACATAAAAGTTTCTACTATCATGCATCGCTTCATGGATCGTGAGTTATATGAGTACTTAACATGAATTCTCCATTCAGTTAAATTAAGTCGGTAAACATGACTGGCTCTAGACTTATCACTTCCACTGTTACAACACAAGCTGTAGTCTGCAGCCTGTGAAGACTATAGTTATGTCAAACCCTGCTACTAGAGATCGACACCTCCTACAAAGTCTAGTTCCAGTTAACATACCCTATTCACATGTTCCTGCCTTCTTTGATTAAATGGATCTTTCCATGGGCAGAGCTATATAGCCCTGGTCTTAATAGAGTATTACACTGCTTTCACATTTTCCCATTCTAAATAGTGCTTCCTAGAGTACAGTACCAAACACCTCTTTAACATGAAACTACATTCAGATTAAGCTTCATGGAAGAACTTAAAACATTAGTGCTATGAACATTTGTTTGCAAAAGTTTGGGTGCCTCTGGTCAAATGACACAATTTGTTGATTTTTTTAAACACATCCTCTACAGAGAACACATTTGTGCACCATTACTGTTTATTAGCTGAATGTAAACATTATAAAAACAATAAAAAATTTGGCCTGTGCAAAAGTGATGGCACATTTTATATTTTATGTTTTATTTTTTTCTAAAACCTGACAAATAAATAGAAATTGTGCTCTAAAATGTACAGGGAAATGCCATATTTAGGTGTGTTCTTTGTACATGATGTGTTAACTTATTTTCACTAAGAAATGAAACAAAACCTGTAATTTGACCAGGGGTGTTCCAATTATTTTAAAGTAATTGGGTGGGGGGACTGGCACAGTACTCTCAGTAGTGGGCACTCTTCTTCAGCTTGAATGCATCATATATATATATATAAAAAGACCGCAACAACAGTTTGTTCTGTTTCGTGGCTTTTTTTCTTTGGGAAGTTGTTTGTTCTCTAACGTCTCTCAATTTTCGGGTCGATTCCGTGTCTTCTGCCCCTTTTTTGTTTGTGTAATACAGCATTTTCCTGCAGCAGCATCACTAACCTGCAACAGCACACAGCACACGTGACTGACCTTGTGCAACGACTGAACGTCACTTTGCGCTTTAATGCCCCAAAGTCTTTTTAATGACATGCAATTTCTGGTTTGACAAAAGCGGCTAAAATTATTCCACTCATAAGCCCGTAAAAATAACCTTCTTTAAATCAATCCAAATTACAGAAGACGAGAAGTCAAAAGATTATCCGCGCATGTCACACAGAAAAAAAAATACAGTCAGGCACTGGCATGTGCCAAAGCACCCCTCTGATGGATAATAAGGTTTCTCTGTGTTAGGAGTTATTACAGGTCAGGACCCCCTGGTGCATGTCATGATGACTTCTAATTGCAATTTACGTAATAAGTGGGAGAGAGTTTTGGTAACTGGTCGAAATGGAGAAGAAATGATTAGGGACTTGTCAGAAATGACAGTTTTCAGTTAAGCAGCCCTTTCTTTTCTTTCTTTCTTTCTTTCTTTCTTTCTTTCTCTCTCTCTCTCTCTCTCTCTCTCTCTCTCTCTCTCTCTCTCGCACTCTCTCTCTCCCCCCATTCTCTCTTTCTCTTCAGTTTCAGCTGTGTTAGGGTCCCTCTCACAGCAATTAACTCAGCTCCCACTGGAGCTTCACCCCTGATCAGACTGACAGAGCAAACATCTATATTCATTATGATGGAGACAGAAGCAACCTTTTTTGACGGACACTGTAGTAGCATATTAGGCAATGTCATTTTGTTTGGGTTGTTGCTTGATTTCTTTTCAGAACAAAAATAACTCTGAGTGCCTGTATACAGTCTGCGCCAAAGTCAGAGACCACTCTTAATTTATTTAAAAACAGCATCAGGAAAAAAACAGAAATTATATTTAATAGAAATGTATACTGAAGTCTCAACAACTGAATATGATTTTTTTAAGTATGTAGTGTGTGCACCATATGTCTGTGTTATAGCCTCCATACTATTCGGGAGACTTGCTTTAAGCTTATAAATCTGTATGGATATTTCCCCACACCTCCAAAGTTTAGTCCTAGAAGTTTGCAGGTTGCATTTTCTGCTTCTTACAATCTAAGTAGTCCCAAAGACATTCAGTGATGATGAGGTCTGGACTTTGGGGTAGTCAGTCCATTATTCTGAAAACACCAGCAGCTGCTTTGTTGGATTTTGCAAATTTTCTTATTTTTGTCTGTTCCCTTTTCTCAATAATGCTTCCTGACAGGTATTCATCCTTTCATACTCATAGCATTGAGTTGTCTTCTCGCAGTGGAAGGATCTGAAGCAAGAATTGAGCTTGATTGTCTCCTGTCTTTCAAAGATGAAAGGTTTAAGTATGATATTAACAGTTTTGGTGGTCTGGTCTTGTATGGTTGTTAGGAGTACCATACTTTGCCCTTATGCAACCAGATATTCTATCTAGTCTCCTCAGAGCTATCTCCTGAAACCACTTAACCCGTTAAATGGCCAGGGCACACCGGCAGGCCCAAAGTTTCATTACACACTTCTATAACCTACGAATAGCTCAAACAGTTTATACTGAATTCACTGTAGTTACAGAATAATAAGCCATACTATGTAAGTTGCCAGGGATTTTAATGGGTTAACTTGTACTAAATGACTGTTTTGACTGGAAATTAAATACATATTGGTCTCTGACTTTTGCACAGCAAAATTGGCTAAGCTCATAAGCTTTTTGGAAGGAAAGACAAGAGCAGGGTGGAGGTCTGTCTTTTTATTCTTGTGAATGTACTCACAGCTCATGATCTTTGTTTTGGTCTGAGCAAGCAAATTCAAAAGTGGTCTTTTAAGGATAAGACTGATTAGGTTTCTAGTAGTTGATTCAATCTGATTTCAAGCAAGGTGCCTTCACAGCAGTGTATTACAGTTGTTTTAGTCCATCTAGGTGAATGTTCCAGACATAAAGTATACTCAACCCAGCAGCTGCATTACAAAAGCTAGGCTGCAGCCGGGAAAGGTCCTCAGAAGGACTATCCTATATATTCTGCTTATTTTTATTACATAATGCAAAACGGAATGGTTTACCAAGGCCATCTTGTCATGTCATCAGAAAATAGTTGCCATGCAAAATTTAATGAAGAAAATACTGCTGATGTGAAAGATAAGCTGGCAAGCAAAATGGTCATGTGAATGATGTAATGCATGTCAGACAAAATAATTTGTTTGAAATTATATGCTGTCCTACGAGCTACGAACTGTTAAACTCACTGGAAGCAAGTGCATTTCTTAGCCTGTATTCAATTTACACCCTCTTGAACAGATACACAACTAAAGAAAAAGTGTACTGTATATGTTACTATATATTGTACTGGCAGTTGGTTTCATCTGCTGGTGTTTCTCTTGAAGTTTCATCAGGTCAGGCACGTGTGAAAGGAATTATGGATGACAAAAGAGTGTGAAGGATGCT